CATAGAAAGCCCACTTTAGCAAAGCTATTGTGAACACAGAATCTAGTTACTCGCTGATCCTAAACAGTCAGACAGTCAGACCTGTCTCAGAGCCCGCGTTTCGGTGTGCCATCTGGTGAAGTGCAGGTATATGAGCGTGTATTGATTAGTCAATCTACTTCAGAGAGAGGTGGGAAAGTCTTCTATATATACATGACGGGTGCTTGTGCCCCTGAATTGTACAGTACTTGAAGTGTCTCCTTGATACAGTTCCTGTTCAACACTATCAAGACGAGTACAGACTATTTAGATTACCAACCCTAGCTTGCCGTGTTTGGTCATTTAGGCTCACCTCATCATACCGTATGTCGTTCACGCTGTCTCCTGGGGCTTTAAAAGTGGCCGAAGTGTCATACCAGTGCTCATGTTCAAGCCTTGAACCGCGGGTTACGGGATGTCTTAGTGGGTTTGGCGTACCATCGTTAGGGATTGGGTATCCGGACATATGATGCTTTTGCATTAAATGTTGGTATAGACGAGGAAAATAGGGGACGCAGGCCACGAGAATCACAGCGCCCAGCTCTCCAAGCCTATAGCGGATTAGCAGCTTGCTACTCGTGGGTTAGGGTACGTCAACCAAGGGCCAGTACATACGTCCAAGAACCAAACGGACCGACGATCCATGTGAGACCACTATTGGTTGCTAACTTAATACTATAGCAGAGACGAGCAATACTTGTAATAATAGCACTAGGTGTTGTTGTTAGCTGCGTGACGGGATGCAGATGCAAGAGAGCGCACATGATGCCCACTCCGAACACAGCTGCAGACCCCAGCTTTCTCTTAATCGGTACTTGCAACTTCCAAATGACTATTATAGGTGTAATGAGGATCGTCAAGTCGGAAAAAACATTGATCGCACTCGTTGCTATGATAATAGCCTGCGTGTCGACTGCGCATGTCCCAGGCAGACTGGGATTTGAAATCTTGGCCCTAGGTACGCAGGCAAAAATAAAAGACAGAAAAATAGCAGCGTAGAAGAGCAGGTTGGCCCATATCAGGATTCGAATGGCAGTGAACGCGACGGCTTTCCGACGATGATTGAAGAAGACAAGCTCGATTTGGCGGAGTACCACGTATTTGGCACAGAACATCGTTGGACAATACAGAATCTCCATGATATTAACCAACTGGACATAGTACGAGGTTAGTTAGATGGGTGACCTAACTTATTGAGAAAAGGGAGTTAAAAGCCAAACCGACCTTGAGAACATCGCCAAAGCTTGTCGCCAGCACAGCAGACACGAATGCACCAAGTAGGACCTGTCGAGCATTAGCCAAAGGGTCTTCTTGCGTATAAGCTTGTAACTTACGCCGGCAACTAAGAGAATGACTTTCAATAAATTAGCCTGTGTGTTTGTATACTAATGTTGGAGTCTGAAGACATACAATCAGTGATGTCGAATTGGCTCATGACTGCTGCTTTCGTGTACGTGCGTGCAGCGATACCACTCAGCGACAGAAATAGAATAATCGCCGATGCCACAATAAACTGGGTATGTATCTTAGAGGACATGGCGCCGGTTAACAACGGTGTGGGCATTCTGTCGGGGTCCATGTTGACCTGGAGGATACAATATACAAGGGGATAGAAAAGAGCGTCGACCATAGGAAAGGAGATTCTGGTTGGCCGATGAACACTCGACTCAATTGGAAAAGTAGGCTGGCGTTTTCACCTCGGCCTACCGACGAACGGGTGTCCAATGCTTTTTGAGACACCTCGTCCAGCCCCCTCCGGCCCCCAAGCGGCAGGAAACAACGGGCCATTTTCATGCAGGAGGAGCGTTAGGTAGCATGCACTTCTGGATTGCACCCCTGGAAGGTTGCAGCTAGAAATAGGATCACGGTAGTATTTTGTCAGATAGCTGCCTTGAAATATTCCATGTAATGTCGCTGAACCCCTCATTCATAGCAACGGGGGCATGTATACACGGAGTCAGTCAACAAGCGCCCTCCAAAACTCCCCTCTTGGCCGGAATACCAAATGCGGGCCATCGTGTGTCGAAGTGAAGATGTCTCGAAGCTCAAATTCAGACCGATGCGCCTGCGGCTTCTGGGACGTTGGAGGGAACTCAAAATCAAAATACTACAGCGTCCTTGCCATCGCTAGGCTCACCTCTGCGTAAGCCATCGCCTTGCCAGCACAACCGCGAGAACCAAGTGAGAATGGTGTGAAAGCAGTGTGGTGGATAAGGAAAAGTGGCTGGCTTTCCTCACCAGCCGTGGCCTTGTCCCCTTCCAGGAACCAACGACTAGGGTTATAAGTAAAAGGGTCTGGGAAGTACTCCGGGTTATGATGCAGCGTGTATGTGTTGACACCAACCTGGGTACCTGGCGGAATCAAGTGGCCATCAATAACAAGTGGCTCGCCACTGTTTACCGTGAGTCGCTCGCGCCAAAGCGTACCGGCAACAGGCGGCGACATGCGTAGCGCCTCATTGATGCATGCCCGCAGATATGGACAAGTTGAAAGACGTGAGCCGCCGATCTCTGCACTGGTCTTGAAGGCCGAGCGAACCTCGTTCGCAGCCTTCTCCTGCCGTTTTGGATTTCTCGCGAGGTAAAAGAACAAGCTACTGAGAGCCGTGGATGTAGTGTCGCCGGCAGCCGGGAGGAAGAAGATTCCTTCAGTCCAAATCTCGCTGGCGGTGATCCTGACTTTTGCTGGGGCTTCGAGCGCGTCAACCATGAATGAGTACAGATCGTGTTCAGCCTTTTTATCCTTTGCCAGTCGTGCCTGTATCATCTTCGACAATGTTTTGAGGAAGCTTTTCCCTTGTATGAGGGCTAAAGCGTAGAACAGGATCTCAAGTCTCAGTTTCCGCAGAGCAGGGAACTGCATGTACATATTGAGGCGCCAGCTCCCAATCATCATGGCATGAACTAGATAGCGATGGGTATGCGATGTCTGCAGGTTGAGTGCATAGCCGAAACCTAGATATCCTGAGATATCTAGACCGAGGTACCTAGATCTCTCGGACAGGTCGATGGGTGCGGCCGGGTCTGCTTGATAGGATAGGGCAAGCTGTTTTACAAATATATCCACCTGTTCCGATAGGATGGGTTCGAATGCTCGGACAGAACGTTCTGTGGTGATTTGTCCTACAAGCTTGCGCTTAAGGCGATGCACTCGTTTGTCAATGGTGTTGAACACGTTCGTAGTGGTCGGGTTTACATTGCCCGCCTGGTAACAGAAGGACTTAGAGATGTCCTCGTTGAGATATATGTCCAACATCACCAACGGTGAGTATGCTACTCCAAAACTAGGACGAAGTTATCATACGACGTACCACGTAAAGCCGCAGTGGAATTAAATATGAGCTTGTTTGGCCCATGACGTATGACGGGTCCTTCAAAACAGCGAGTTAGAAGATCCCCTCGATAGAAAGTCAAAAGCCGGTGAGTATGCACATGCCGTATTTCTGTTGGTCCTCGAAAGTCTGGAGATGAAGACTTCGCTTCAGAGAGTAGAAGCCACTGTAGACATCTGAAATTTTTGCGAGTACTGGGCCGGGGTAGCTACGGAGGGGATGTAACCACAGCCGATAAAGACAGACTAGGAAATACTAATCAACAGTGTGCGGTCAGTGGTTACCAGTGGTCCGGTGGGCTAGAGTATGGAGTTCTTACGTATGGAATAGCTAGCAAGACCGCGTATTTTGTAACGATGAGGATGTTGTCAAATGAATCCATGGTGTTGAGCGCTGGCTTCCGAAGTCGGGGAATTGGGCATCAAATCAATAGCTCTTCGGTTGCCACTAGATATTTGTGATGAGGAGGAAAGCATGTTCTGAACAAAGGTGCCTGCACCAACAGCGACGATATACATGTGCAGCTACTCTCTACATGTAGCCAACAAAGACCCTGGGGGGGCCACAAGGATTGACTTGACCGTATCACACAGTGTCACCCGGTCACGTATCTACCTACGTACGTACGTAGTGTGAGACATTGTGAGCTTGGAGCGTGGGCAGCTGAAAAGATAATGAAGTATACGATCCACGCTAGATATATAGGTAAATAATCTAGATTATACATGTGGCTTTGTATTTTAAATTTGATCAGGTGTTGAGTCCACTACTGAATCATGACTGTGGTTTTTCTCGATATTTGCATCCCACTCCAAGTGCTTCGGCGCCGAATCTCTCTGAAATAGTAGCTCACTCATGTAAGTTCTCAAGGCTCTGCGCGGACGATGACCTCCGTGCTTGAATCCTTCCTTCACAGGGACCTTGAAGAGGCCCGGAAGATCAATGCGGTCAGAACTGAGTTTCTCGCCAACCCGATCTTGACGACGCCTAATCTCAAACGGCCGAGGGCGCTGGCAGACGAGTACGTGTCGTCAATGATACTATTAGGAGCTGGTCGGATGTTGGCATCATAAGTGTGCCCAGCGTGAACTCAACACCGCCCACTGAGACGTTCAACGGCTAGGCGGACATCATCACTAACTCTGCAGTGCGCAGCAGACAGTCGCACAAATACCGCAAGCTCAAGGCCGCCTCCAATAAGAATCAGGCCCTGGAGCTTCTACATCACTCGAACAGATAGAACGTAAAAGCCGCGATGACCTGCCGAGGAGGGCCAATCTAAACAACGATGGGAGCAAGATCGCAGGATTACTTATAATCTTAGGCCGGCGGCCCTCGCAGCGTAGTGCGCAAGGCACACACACTATTCATTCATCAACCAATCTGGGGCCAATTCAATGAGACCAGCCCACGGCCAAGTTCAAGACAGGATACGTACGGCTGCCTCCCGAGTCTCTGGTTCGGCGACTCAGCTACGGCGGCTTTCGATGGCCGTCTCAACCGTGTACATGGATGGGTCCTTATAAGAAGAAGCGGCGGCTTGGACGGTACAGTACAGTCTGTGCTTGAATAAATCAACTCCTCGGGTCTACACGGCCCTCTTTAGCGCAAGGGCTCACAGGTGCATTTAGAAAGACGTCTCACGATGTAGTCGATTTGGCGCAATGGTAGCGTATGGACCTCCTAAGTCCAGGGTTGTGGGTTCGAGTCCCATGATCGATGCAGTGAGCTATTTCACGTTCGAGTTTATATGGGCGAATGGTCTAGGGGTATGATATTCGCTTTGCATGCCTGCGTTCTTCGCAATTAAATAGGTGCTTGCGAAGGGTCCGGGGTTCAATTCCCCGTTCGTCCATCATTTTTGGCCTGTATAAAGGATGTTGGACTAGTTAAGGTTTTTTTTTTCAAGGACCGGACCAATAATGAACAGGTCGACCCTCTCTCACATGCTAGCATGTCTTAGCATTGCCTATGTCAATAGTTCCTATTGAAGATGCGTAAGCTGTGACTGTAAGAGAACATACGGAGTGAGTGTACTGTTCATGTTCGACCTTGATAAAACTGCACATTATCGCTCGATGGTAATCATGATACTTTTAATTCGCTGCTTTGGTGTATGGTATATTGGCTAGGGGTATCTCTCATGTCTCTGCAGGATGTCCTGACGAGGTCGTCCAGTCTTTCCGCTCTGCTCCGTCTAATAATACTAAAAGGGTAGATATTCGAGTCCGGTTGAGTAAAGAAGACGAGGGCATTGATATCCGGCTAATTCATCTACTCGCGACTTCCAAAGCCCTCTCTTGAATCCACATGATTATATTGCACAAAACGGTCTTGGTCTCCAAATATTCCCGTTGCTCTGATCTCGCTGAATCTCCCCGGATGAATAGAAAAGAATGAAAGTTTATGAAAAGCGCACAGGCGTAATGTCGTAAAGCTGTGAATCATGGTAATATGATACGTCGCGCCGTCCAGAATCGCGTAACGCTAGGCCCCCGTGGCCCAATTATCGTAAGTCGTACATAACGGGCCGTAGGACGAAGTCATAATTAATACAAGCCCCAGACTCCTGGCGTTCGCGAGGAGCCTGGGAATTCGCAGTGTACAGTCAGGGTACTGTGATTTGACCCCATCATAAAAACCCGCCTTCGTTCCCGAACACGCCGATACTGCCCCGCCATCGACAGCGATCTTCGGGCGTCCGACTGGTTCCGCGGGGACTCATGGAGCCACGAGGCGTATTGGCTGCGTCGTAATCGCCGCTCGCGGGATTGCTGCCGCTGCTGGCGTTTGATTGTACAAGGAGAAGGCTGCTCGTGCCGCTCAGGCGCTTTGCAAATTCGTTGAAACTGAGGTTCTTGACGTCAGAAGTCGAATGTCGCTTCTCGTGGGATCGTCGCATCGGCACGCCTTCTGGTTGCCTGGGAGACGCCGTACGCGACGACGGGGTGGTGATGTAAGGCTGGCTACTCATCCGTTGAGCCGCAGGCCGGTTCCGTGAGTGTGCCGTGTGCGGTCGCAAAATTGATGGCGCAGTGCTCAGCCCTGATTCGCTGTACGTTGAGTTATGACGGTTATTGACGAATGGGCGCGCTTTGAACGAGGAGGCGTCCCTCTCATCGTAGTCCTCGTCCTGTTCAAATGCGTAGTTGTCGCTATCCTCATCTTCATCATCCTCCACTCCGCTGCCGGATGCGGCGTCGTCGCTCTCATCGTCTTCCCAGGTGCTCTTCAACGGTTCCTGCTTAATCTGTTTACCACTAGGCTTTCTCTGGTGAGTGTCTGCTTCGCGCATCAGCGCCTCGAATCTGGCCAGTGAGGTAAGCTTCTCCTCCCCTGGAACCTCCCTATCAGAGCCCGGGATATATCGCATTTGGAACGCCCGGTCCAGGATAGTCTCACGAGGTGTTATACGCGGGCTGGACTCTAAGCTAGGTTGACTTGGGTCATGAGAAGAGCTGATGCTAGCCCGACCCCTGATAGGAGAACTCAACGCCGAGGACCGGCCTGTTGCCATTGTCCATCCCTCTATGAGCTGTTCTGGGTGTTCGTCGACAGTAGAAGCGGGCGAGGGCAAATCGGAGTGCTGTAGGTTGGAATAATGCTGCGGCACAAAAATCATACTATTCGGTGCCATAGAGCTCGCGTGCGAGGAGAGGTCGCTTTTCCGAGACCGGAGGCTATGTGATCCGGAAGTGTATATCGAGCTCTGATCCCGTGCCGAAGGGAGGGCTTTGCCGGATTTCTTTGGTTGTAACTTCGATCTAAACTTTCCCTTTGTACCGGACGAAGATGAAGACTTTGACTTTTCGGGCGCTTCTTGCGCCGGTGGAAATGGGCTGACGAACACCGGCCCTGTCGGGCTAATGGGAGTTAAAGGCATCGACTGCTGCCGGTCTATGAGTAATCGAAGATACCTGACCCAGTCACCGAGGCTGTGCCGTGAAGTCTCGGCAGTTAGGAAGTAGAGCATCGCTGGGCCAGATTCCTTGGTGGTCATTAATCCCGTAGTTCGGCTAGATCGGCGCTTTCGCAGCTTGTCTGCTGCCGGATCGGGGGAAAGCTGAATAGTCAAAGTAGGAAGAACCTGCTCCTGCTTCCGATGGGCAACTAGTTGTATGCGACAGTCTGCTATCGACGCAATGGAATGCTGAATAATGGGGTCGGTATCGTCCTGCAGCTCGTGTTAGTAAAATAAGAAATTGTACTCCGGAACGACGCCCGAGCGCACCTTGGACTTGTACACGGACAAGTATAAGGCGTCTGTCGGCGCTTTTTGCTGTGATTTTGAAGACCGACCTCCCACATCTCTTATGCGAGAAGGGGCCGACAAAACGTGGGAAAGCGAGAGATTTGACTGCTGGCCCTCCTTCTGAACGAGTGGACCAACGACAACATAGCGCGGCTAAAAAACACGGTGAGTTAGCATTTCGACGAAGAGTGAAAAGTGCGCAACAGGTGGCAATGGTTACCTTCCAGACGGGTCGCCCCAGAATCGTGCCACGATCTGGGGGTACTAGAAGAATATCCTCCATCACGACTGCGACTGTTGATAAGTGCAATATCTACTCGCTCTTGCTAATATCCGTGTTGTCGCAGAGCGTCCTGGTCCGTCCCAGGCTACGTAGTGTACAGCTGTGCAAAGCTAACCAAACCCTAACTTGGGAATAAAGAGGTCGCGAACTATTTGTCTGCAGTCAAAACGTCATACTGAGAAGAATAGTATGATAGGGGGTCAGCCGGCGATCGGCTTTGTTCGCGAGGAACAAGAGAAGTCGAGGCGACAATGCAAGGGATGGCATAAAAAAGCGGCGAGACAGTGGGCTTGCCCTGAGAGGTTGAAATTAGCGAGAATTGAGATGTCAATTCGCTGTGGCCGACCTTGAATGAGATGGCGAAAACAGAAAAGAAAGAAAGATCGCCAACCGCCTGCCGGCAAAGGAGGGTTGGTGTGTAGGAAGAAAAGTGCACAAGATGAATAGTAACCGTACCGGAATAGTAGGGGTAGTTCTATCGCACCGACCACAAGGCTCATCCGTTGTTGAGTCGTTAGCGGTCCGGCTACCCTTGCACTTACATATTAGATTAACCTAAATATACGCATCCCCTACCGTAGAATGCCCATATACCTACTGTATAGGGCGCAACGGAAGAAAGAGGCCAAAGGGTGTGTAGTGAAGGGGTCGATGTAACTCCTGAAAACACCATCTCGGCCATGATGAAATGTGGGGACGATGCCGTGAAATAATTATGCACCAGCTTACTAGCTAGGCCTAGAATAGAATAAGTCGAGAGGAATCTCGAAGCAGCTTGCCTGTACTTGGGTACAGGCCACGATTGGTCTAAACTCAAAGCAGAGTATTGCCGATGACTGTGAACGATAGCTCGAGTACTACTTGGTACGTACAAAGTGCGTGACATGGTACGCACAGAGTTGACAGGGCCCTTTGGGGCCCTTTGGGGCCCGGCACCTGGATCCTCTTGGAAATGCAGGCCGGGTTCAGGGGTATTCGGGGGCGTAGCCTACTAGGTACACATAGTACGTACAGCCTATCTACAAAGTGTGCAGGGCATGGGAGAACGCGAGATAATACACTAATATGATAGCGTTCGGGCCACCACACCGGCGGTACAGATTTACGTTCGTCCAACGACGTATCTAAGTGTATAGCACGAGCAAATAAGCACACTAACTTCTTGGGTGCGGGTAACCAAACAGGACCTTGCAGTCTTGTGACCAGACCCTCCCGAATAGCCTGTTTCCAGCCAGTAATCCGTGCAAAATGAAGCGGTGATGGAGCCCAGGTTTCACCATACCGGTTACCCCATTACCCCATTACCGGGCAAGCCGGGAAATGCTGAGGCGTCGTATCGGCCCCCTATACAAATCTTTTAAGAGCGATGTAACCTGACCCCCCGTACCCGATGGTCCGCGAACGGCTTTGGAAGTCGGTACTGATAAAGAAATTCACCAGGGCTACGTTGCACCGATGTTGTCTCTTAGCTGTCCCAAACGCTTAGAGGCGGCAGCGGTATCTGCCGTCTGAGGAGCAAGGAAGAAGAGAAGAGGGACAAAGAGATAAAAGGCGCGCCCCGGCTAACGAAGCTGAGAGCTTTGCTACTAACTCTGCTCGCTCACCCGCTATGGGCGCTCTTTTTTCTGCACTATCTAACTTGGAGTCCGAGCTGAAATGCTAGGTAAATAGTGAGGTGATCTATAAATTATTAGACCCAATAGCCTCGCGGCGAGACGGATGTTGAGAATCCGTTGACACATAACCTGCAGTAGCTTCACGCCAATGTCATTGGAACTGCTGATCGCGAGAGGAAGATACGTGTGGCTATAGGGTCACGGTTGGTCACACGACTGCACGTGCTGTCGCCTGGTTGATGGGGTGGTACAAACAAGCCAGCGGGCCAGCAGGAATGACGGGAGCGCCACCGCCAGTTATTCCATCGTCATCATCCATTATCCATCATCCATCATCCATCCATCGAGGCGGCCGCAGGTGATGCGACCAACTTCCCCCAAAATGATATTGGATACGACCCCAGGTAAAAGCAAATGCAGGTGGAAGAACACAATCCCAGACTAAATCCTCGCCACACCCTCCTGCTTGGCAATCCTCGCGCTTCGTCGTACTCTTGGCCGCTCACCTCCCTTCCTCCTCCATTCCGGGCAGGCTAGGCAATTCCGGCGGTGCATTTCTTTGAACTGGCAAAGGGCAAGGGTTATGCGATTGCGCTACCGATGCGTCGTTCTCGCTAGTCATCGTTACCAATGCGCGTTGTATTGGACCAACGCCCATGTGTAGTTGCCCGTGTTCTAGAAGGTTTCAGTATCTAGAATCCCTG